GACAGAAAGTTCTGTGTGGCTTTGTAGAATAGTAATTACTAGTTACGTAATTATTTTGATCAATTAAAGACAGAAAGTTCTGTGTGGCTTTGTAGAATAGTAATTACTAGTTACGTAATTATTTTGATCAATTAAAGACAGAAAGTTCGGTGTGGCTTTGTAGAATAGTAATTACTAGTTACGTAATAATTTTTGTTCAATTAAAGACAGAAAGCTCTGTGTGGCTTTGTAGAATAGTCATTACTAGTTACATAATAATTTTGATCAATTAAAGACAGAATGTTCTGTGTGGCTTTGTAGAATAGTAATTACTAGTTACGTAATAATTTTGATCAATTAAAGACAGAAAGTTCTGTGTGGCTTTGTAGAATAGTAATTACTAGTTACGTAATTATTTTGATCAATTAAAGACAGACAGTTCTGTGTGGCTTTGTAGAATAGTAATTACTAGTTACGTAATAATTTTGATCAATTAAAGACAGAAAGCTCTGTGTGGCTTTGTAGAATAGTCATTACTAGTTACATAATAATTTTGATCAATTAAATACAGAAAGTTCTGTGTGGCTTTGTAGAATAGTAATTACTAGTTACGTAATTATTTTGATCAATTAAAGACAGAAAGTTCGGTGTGGCTTTGTAGAATAGTAATTACTAGTTACGTAATAATTTTGATCAATTAAAGACAGAAAGTTCGGTGTGGCTTTGTAGAACAGTAATTACTAGTTACGTAATTATTTTTTCTGTATCTTACACAAATAGGTCATTTTCAAATTAACAGAATCCTCGTACTAGAAGTGTGCTTATTAAATCGTTTACAGATTTTTTTTAAGTTAGAAAGGTTCTCACTATTATAAAACTTTTTGAACTGTTTCAAATAACATATGTAAGCAACTTAAATTTACGTATTTCATATATTATTTTTTGTGTAATAGTATATATATATATATATCAGTGTTTAATGCAAAAAAACAACACTAGTGTTTATGTATATATAAATTAGTAAAAAAAACACAAATTTGAATATATACATCATATCTCTCGTAATAATAACATATCATCAAGGAATGGATGCCTTTTTCAGCCCTAAAACGGATAGAATTTTATGCTATAATTTTTTGTAATTATACGTGAGTACTCACAAATTAAAATCTGTATAGAAATAATTGAGATTTCGTTGCGGAATTTCAGACATGTATTTGCATTATGACAAGACCTTAAAGACTTTTTAAGGCTTAGAAGTTAAAAGGGAATAAACGAAAAGAGAAGTATAGAACAGTACACAAGAAATGTGTTGTACATGTTTTGCATTAAACAAGTCCAATGAAATAATGTCATTTACTAATATCACCTAAAATGAACGAGAGAAAGCACGTGAGGCTATATCTTAAACGTTACAGAGCAGCTAAAACTTAACACATATGTTCTACGAGCATTTTGTGGTTCATGTGTGTAACCAAACGTTACCATGACGACTAGAGTATCGGTTTGGAATCACATAAAGAGTAGGTACTCAGACTGGAAAACAAAATGGAAATCCGATTACTTTGTACTTGTATAGAAACATGTACTTTATCTTTTGTTTTCACTATATGAAAACAAACAACAACAAAGGTAATTAAGTGCAAGAGTAATAAAAAACAACAACACAGTATTGTATTTAACCGATACACAGGTATGACCGGTGAATACCGCGAAGTTTGTTTTATAAGTCAGCAGTAGTTGGTACGCTTATCAACCACGAGGGGAAGCATGTATTGATTATAATAAAAAATATTCCAATATCTAACTCGTAAATAAGAAAACGTGTTATTTAATAATAACTAACCAAATAAATAAATATTCATGTTAGGTTATTTTACGTTGGCGATTTTTTTGTGTGTGTGGAAACTCACCCCTATAACTAGTGTGTGATTGTATACGTGTGAGTTAAGCTAGAAAGTTTTGTTTAAGCACACAGTCCTACAGAAGGATATGAAAAACGTGTTAACTAGCATGGTTAAGAACCTGATGATATCATAGGTTTTATGACGTATCAAATGAAAGGTTGGTCAGAAAATTTAGACATCTGATGACTGATTTGCGTGATCTTTCTCATCTCGAGAAAATAAAACAACCCGTTGGTACTTAAGGCAAGGCTAAAGTAGAGGAAGTTAAAAGAGAATGCGAAGGTTTACAACAAATTATTAAACTTCACTTTTTGCAGGTCGTTGTTTGATGAAGGATTGCGTGCGAGAAGTTTAGACGTTCGTTTTCCGTGTGTTCTGTTGGTTTAAATGTAAAAAAACAGAGAGATAGAAGAAAGAATGAAAGAATAATTTATTTAGCCCTAATGAATAGGAAAGTCGTAATTTTTACTACAGTACTAGGAATTTTAAGTTGCGAAATTAGATTTGTTGTATTTATTAAATCGTTTACAGATTCGTTTTTTTTAAGTTAGAAAGGTTCTCACTATTATAAAACTTTTTATCTGTTTTAAATAACATATTTAAACAACTTAAATGTTATGTATTTCATGTATTATTTTTGCGTAGTTAGTATTAAGATACTACAACGTCAATAGTTATTTTGTTGACTTACTTAGCGATAATAGTATTCCATCAACATTTCTTTTTAAATTACAAAGTTTCGGTTAGATATCATTTGGGCCTGACTTGGCCTGATGGTTAGGATACTCGACTCGCAATCTGCAGGTCTCAAGATCGAAACACATCTCCGAACATGTTAGCCCCTTCTATCGTGAAGGCGTTATAATGTTACAATAAATCCAACTATTCGTTAGTAAAGAGTAGTCCAAGAGTTGGCGGTGGGTGGTGTTGACTAGCTGCCTTTCCTCTATTCTTCACGTCGAAATTAGAGACGATTAGCTTTGCGCGAAATTCTACAAACAAACGATATCATTTGTAAATAAAATATTTTAAAAAGGAAGGATAAAACTATCAATAGATGGCGCTATATCACTTCAACGACTGCGGTTGACTCTCTCAAAGTACCTCATACAATGTCAAAATTATTTTGGAATTTAAAGAATATTTAAACTAATGGAATTATGATTTATAAAGAAAAATTCCATTTTGCAATTCCAAAATAAATGGTATGTGTAAAAGTGTACAGAATGAATAAATGTGAGAATGCAGGGTAGCAATTTTAAATGATTCTGAATTAAAAAAAAAACAACAACAACCACACGCACAGGAAGAATAACATTTTATAATTTAGGGTCAATTCAAAGTTTATAATCTGGGAGTTCTTACTGTTTACAATCAATATAGATTTGCCCTTGTATATTTATTTTGCTACCGTAATTAAGCCTTCCAAACTGTATTTACAGACGTCCGTGGAAGAAGATGCATTATATTATATGTTTTATTCATGAAAGCCATGTCATGGCTAATGAAAAGGGTTAATAATAAGATGGAACGATTTGGTAGTTTGGAAACGAGTCTTCATTATTGAAATGAGCCCAACATAGTATTACATTCTCGTTCATCAGCGCCCTTCAGAAATAATATAATAAGAATATGATAGACTCCAAACATGATTTAAATACATTTGTTGGAAACAATATAAGTTTACTGTTTTTGTTTTGTTTTTTCTCTTTAATATTTTCTGGTTAGAAGAAGATAAATGAACATTGCGTGCTTGAATTAAATGATCCCTGTCTATGCTTACTTCATCTCCATTCTATCTTGCCAACCTTAATTTTCAGTCTTTTCGTACAGTCGTTAGCAAAAATTGCATAGCTCTAACTATGTATATATATTTTTTCTTGTATCTAAATTTATAAATCGAATATTTGCGTGCAACTTGTAGACACTCTCCGCCTTCACGTGGCACGCGGGAAGTAGCGTGCGTGAGCGCGTGGGTAGCTCGGTCTGCAAAGCATCAATCATCTAACACTTGGTAATGTATGGGTGCTCAGTCAACTCAGGTAGGATTCGTTTGTTACAACCAGCTACTCGGCTTTCTCTGGCTCCTCTTTAAAACAGAATGGACTAGTTATCATGCTAATGTCTTTTTTTATATTTCCCACTTAAGCAATCAATAACCTGCCCAAATATTAAGCCATTGTTTTTATATTTTTCTCGATGAAACTCGTAGAAACACAGTAATATAATTTCTAGTAAAACAGAACTGGTTTCGTATTACGGTCGAATGTATTGCTCGTTATCCAGTACCAAGAAATTAATAAATGCAATCACTTAAAACCCAAGAATTGGAGTTGTTTTTTTAAGACTTTTATCTCTTACTTTACAATAAAGTTTTCGAAGAATTCTTATTTTAGTTTTAAAAATGTCCAACAGCTTGTTAGTGATACAGGCAATATAACGTCTAGACAAGCTGTACGTGGAATGATTCCTTGAATTTAGCAGACGTACCCTAACATAGTCAGTCAATAGCGGCCGCGTGCAATCAATCTATCACGTGGGTTAGGCTGAGTAACTGCGTTGTTGGAGCCGTATCGTACTACCTGGCAACTCCGAAGAAAGGCCTGATGAGAGGAGTTCGTTTATAACGTGACCACCAGCAAGCGCTTCCTTAGGCCTGCACACCAACCAAGGTCTACGGGTCCGATAACACAACCCAACATAAATCAACATTGATTGGCACTTCTGACAGCACAGTGATGGACTGACACCTGGCGGCTTGCCAAGTCATTAGCTTTTACCGATTCCCATTGGTCGGTGTAGATTTGCTTCCCCAACACCACTCTGAAGTGATTAATAACCTGACGTCACGACAAGCTTTCTCACCAATGGCTGTCTCTCTTGTCAAAAGTGGTTACCCACGATTGGCTCCTGGTGGTGGCGTTTCGTATTACGTCGGCGACTTGACTAGCGTAACACTATAGAGTTAGACAGTCTGAGCGCAACTGTGAGACGGTAAACAGCGTTTAGAGAGCGTCTGTCGTTTTAACGGATCTAGGATCGCGTAACCCGGGTATAACATTAGACGTGTGAACGAGATAGAGATTACACACACAAGTGACAAGGTTATTTGTTGTAAACTGGATACTATTACATCTGGAAATTTAGTGAACAAACTTAGCCTCATAAAAGGTTGAGGCGTTTCGGACCTAGGACAAGATGAGCCTGTTAAGTGGCAACCAGTATCTGAGACCGGAGTATCTGTCGCCACTTCCAACAACGGTAGGAAACTTTGCTTATATTAAGAACTAGTTTAAAGAGCAACCAGGGTAATAGCCTATTGTAATTTCTCGAAATTATTCCCACTTTCCCTTTCAATGTATCTTAAAATTGCTGAACCTGTACATATAGTATACTGTGTACGTACAGTACCTGTTTTAATAACGAAATATTATTGATAGACAAAATGCAGTTGTATTATTTCAGTGTACTGAGAACTGATCTGACGCACGGATGTTAAACTTAAATGTCTTTTTACTTTAGAGTTCTCTCCACTGTGGTTGACTGCTACTTTAATAATTTAATGAAAGTTAGATCATTGTTAATTGTTTACATTTTACTACAGATAGTGTAGCCGTTAACATGAGGAAATATTCTGTTTAATTTCATATCACCAGTTGAAAGTGTGTGACTAAAAGAATACCGTTTGATAGCAGCATAAAAAGTATGTTACAACTTTATTCTAAAAAAAAAATATCTTATGGTGTACCGAGACAGCCAGTGAACAACAGAAGGACGACATTTTTCCTAAACATCACTGTTTAGCGCCGTCATTTTTAAGGTGTGGTTTCAAAGTAAACTTAAGTTGCTTTACTTCTGTGACTAAATTGAAGTTATTATCACAGTTTGTTTTAGTGTTGTTGCAATGATGCAACACATAGCCGCTGAGAGGAAGTGAACTTGTTGTATTAAACCTTCAATATTGTGGAGATTGAATTTGAATTATTTATGTTACGTATGAGTGAGTAATGTTTCTGTCTCTTAAGTAACTTAGATGAATCATCAGTTTCCGAACTAAACTTTCTTACGAAGTAAACTAGCTATGGTCTAATGCATTGGTCTGACAAGTCCCGCCATCTCTGGGCATTTATCGCAACTATTTAGTAATATAATGTGAAGTTGGAAATAAGAAGATATGTATATGATAATATTAAAAAACAAACCAGTTTTTCATCTTCAAGAATTTAATTGTGTTTCTAACAATATTACATACGCGAACACATTGTTCTTTTAAGTAATGAATTTTGATTATATCCTGATACGGCAGTCGTAATACAAATATTTCGACTTCTAGCCATATAGTAATATTTATTGTAACGTTGTATGAATTTTTTTTAACAAATTGTAGTATTTTGAGAAACAGATTGTTTACTGAAAAGCACACGAGGAAGTCTTTCAGGTAGTGGATCGCTGAGGGTCTTTAATTCCACTTTTTTTTCTTACATGTGATGAATAAACGGTTAAATGGAGAGCTATCGGGCGTGTAACCTTGATTGGCATGGTAGTGAATTGTATCTCAGGTCAAAAGGTCAGGTTGTTTAATGCATAATAAAAGCAGACCAATGTATAGGATGGGAAAAATACGAAATGGCATCATAGATGTCTTAAGAGTTTTACAGTTGGTTCATTTTCGCCAAATTGTGCTTATTTGTTCACAATTAAAAGTGATCGATAATCGAATTCGTTATTAAGTACGTAGTTAACAGAATTTTATAAACACCCATAACAAAACATACTGATCTCTTTTTTTTTTTCATTTGATTATTTCCATGATACATCTATTGACATCCGGATGAAATATGACACGTTTCCGTGTACATTCCTGACTTCTGATATGTTTACATAAGTACATGCGCTGTTGCTCTGTGTATTTTGCTTGTATACGTGATCTTTACTGTTTGTTTATGTGCAGTAAGTAGATTACTGAACAAACACGAAACTTTGTGTTGACTTCGTGATAACCTTCTAGTGGAGTAAACAGTAAAAATAATTGTGTTGTGTAGGTTAAAAAATAGTCATTTCACTGGTTAATGGAAAACTTTAAATAAAACAGATGGAGACATTTTTTATTATTATTTTAATGCAGTGTTGCCTATATGGTTGAACAAGCACGTTGTTATGTTAGCCGCATGAAATGAGCCAGCAATGCCATTGGTCTCTTGATTCTCCATATTTAATGATTTTATTAGATTGATCAATTGAAATTGAAGTACGTAAGCAGTGCTAAATAAAGTAAATTCTATGTTCAGAATTTGTTTTTGATGCAATTTTAAGATCTTGCATTAAATTTTACTTTTATTTATTTTTTGTCTGTAGCTCGATGCGAAGAAGAGCCCGTTGGCGTTGCTGGCGCAGACTTGCAGCAACATTGGCGCCGACAACCCTAACCATAAACCCATTATCCCAGGCTTGGAGAAGAACCGAGACTCCGAGAAGAATAAGGACAAGTCTACGAATAGCGAAGAAAAACCATCTTTCAAGCCGTACGAGTTGTCAAAAAAAGACTCGGAATCTAGCGGTGAGGGAGGCAAAAAGTCGCCGTCGTCCAAGTCGGTATCCCCCGTGAGTCCGTCCCCAGCTGTTAGCACGACCGGGTCTTGTGGCAAAAATTCCCCGTCTGGGGGTCATGAAAAGAGGAGCCATAGTGCGACTAGTTGTGAAACTGGGACAACATCAGCAACAACGTCAACATCTACTAGCTTATCGGCTTCAAGTTCAATTTCGGGGAACCATAACACTCTTAGCGGACTCGGCTATCGGTCTGGAGCCTCCCTTGGCCTCGATTTGGGCCGTTCGGACTCATCCAAAGATGGACTCGGAAGCTTATCTCACTTGTCCTTTGGAGCCTACAAGCATGGATTGAACGGATCTCTTAATCCTTTAGCCAACTGTGTCGGTTGTTCTCCTATGTTAGGCCACATTCCGGTTGACGCCGCAAGCACAGCGCATACCTTTCCTGTCACGGCCTCACAGAGCGGGACGGGTGGCCTCAAGCCCGGATGCTATACCATGGGTGGACTCTCGCCGTACGTCGGATATGCTCGTGTGAAAACAGCGAGCGGTGGCACTGCCTTTGTGCCCGTGTGTCGTGATCCTTCTTGTATGAACTGTCAACTGAGTATGCAGAGTGCCCAGCTAGGCCAATGTCCCAGTGGTTGTACTCAATGCACTCATGAGCGAATAACTCCTTTCGGAGGGACTACCAGTTTGGCGGGTCTGATACCTGGACTGCCGGGATCTTCATCTCCCACGGCGGCTGGAAATCCTTCGGCCTTGGCTGGCCTCAACTCTCAACTCTATCCGCACGCTATGTTACCTAGGCCCAATGTGTGTAGCTGGATGGTTGGAGACACCTATTGTGGTAAAAGGTTTACTTCTTCAGAGGAGCTACTACAGCATCTCAGGACTCACACTAACCTGTCGGCAACAGATACCGCCTCGTACTTGCCAATGTTGTCTCCCAGCTTTAGCATGCCGTCAGCAGCTGGACTGGGTGCTGCGGCCTGTCACCTTCATTACAGTTCGGCTCCATCCCTTACTTCCCCTGCCGGTCTTCGTCGGACATATCCCACAAGCCTGAGCCCTGTAAGCTCCTTGAGTGCCAGCAGGTTTCATCCATATAAGCCGACCCTACCAACCTTACCAGGAGCTCCTATGCCGCCCCTACCACATCCAGGACTAAGTATGTACTACCCCTACAATCTTTACGGACAGCGTTTAGGGCCTCCAGTCCACCCCTGATCATGAATGAAAAACATAGAGTATATGAACATCAAAGCCTTGTGTATAGAAATACATGTAGTAAATTACAGACAAAGCAAGGAATTCCAAGTAATATATTGTGCAGTCAGTGACTTTTTTTTCCCCAAGACGAAAATTTTCCGGTGTGCAAACAAAAAAGAAAAAAAAGAGAAACGTTTGTGACAAAGTGTGAGTAGAAACTGAAAAAAAAGTGAATTTATTTCTAGAAATTGACGACGGTATATTACACTATATACATACGAGATGTAAGTATCTGTGTAAGAAAATTATAACTGTTTACTGCACTGTATAAAACTCGCAGTGCAAACGTGAGAGTGTATATATATATATATACATTCTAAGATCTTTATCCTGTAAATACTTAGCTATGTTGTAACGGAATATACAGCCTTGAGAGTGGTTTTATTGAAAATTGTGACTTAAGTATGTCTTCTATGTAATATTCGGTTCGGCTTTCATATTTCTCAGTTATCTTTATGTCAGCTTTTCACAGTATACCTTGTAAAAGCAATATATTCTGTCATCTCGTTTCTGACAATCAGGAATAATAAAAGTTTTTCCTAGAAATAGGTAATTTCTCTAGAGTGTTTTCGCGTGATCGACTTTTTTGTAGCTTTGTTTCTAAGCTTCTTTTCTGTGTCATGTATTACTTCTGTCTTGAATACGTGGTAATGACTATGAACAGTGAGTGGTGTGTGACATCTCGTTGGCTTTATTAAAATGACGATAAACATGTATATTTGTTATTCTTTGTTTTGTCAAATTACATGTACACGCTACATTTCCAATCTACCATTACACCAATTAAGTGGGATACAATAGAACTACATAAGGTGGCGTTGGTGAAAATAAATTAACAATACTCCAGTACATCATGAGGTATATGGCTTTACACACTTGTGATGGTATCGGTTTAAGATGGTCAGGGCCAATATTTCAAGATAATTCTAAATATTTGAAAAACACGTTTATATACTAAATAAATTTGGGATTTTATCCAAAATTCTTTGACCTTGGGAAGGATTACTGGGAATGTTGATTTGGAACTGAATTATATGAAATTTATGTACAGTAATAAGTAAAACAGCCCAAATTCTAACGACTACTGTGGTTCATAGTGGTAAACAATTAAAATAGGTAAAACAATATCAACTATTTTAAATAAAAAAAAACGTTTACTAGATATATATAAACACTGAACAAGTTGCTACATTTTTAAATATTTGAAAAGTATAGTTTGGATTGTGTCAATTAGCCTTTGGACAATGTTAACAATAGCGAAAAAGGTGACATAAAAATTAAGCCTCAATTTCAATAAACTACAAAGCTTAAGTATTTTATATTCACAAATATATGGAATGTCTACACAGCTTTTGTTTTGAATCTCTAATTAGGGTGTCAATTCCAAACGAATAAAGGAAGTTTTAAAATGGCACTTAAATTCAAAGATTTAATTATTGTTGTAGAAAAAAAGACAATTTCGTTCAAATAAGCTTTTTGTTTAAGTTTTACAAACTTGTTTAGGCGAAACTTGCTGCCAGTCAGTCGCATGCGACTACTTCACTCTCACAGTGGAACTACGTTCAATCATAAATAGATATAATAGGATTTAACATTCGAGCTTCGCGTGTTGTAATCACAAAGCTGGATATACTTAATCGTGGGATTATATACTAATCACAATTTGTTTGTAATTAAGCACAAAGCTACACAATGGGCTATGTATGCTCTGCCCACCATGGGTATCGAAACCCGGATTCTGGCGTTGTAAGTCTGCAGACATATCGCTGTGCCACTGGGGGGCTACTAATGACAAAGCTACTAAAACTAACTTTCACGGTCTCTAATTTTGAGATACACTGACCAGAAGGAGGACAACCAATCAGTAAGTAGCGCCCATCATTCACGCCAAGAGATTGGCTGTCAATCTTACAACGCACTCACAGCTTAAAGCGCAAGAAGTATTTTGTGTATTGCACGGAGTCGAACCCGGCTCTCCACCTCCAAAATCCAGAGCTCAACTCGCGCCCGATTGTGGAACTACTAACTTCAGAAAGACCTCTCGAATTAGGAAAAGCTTGCAAAATGTTAAGGTGGTGTTATCTTTCTTTTTTTTTAAACGAGTTGACCTGATAATTCAGGTTAGTTAACTACAACATGCTTTCATTAAGGAATATTTCTCCAGGGGGAGTTTTCTGTTGTTAGAGAGTGAATAATATTATCACGAATATTATATAGTTCTAAATTACTTTTAAATTTTTTTAAAATTGTTTTATATTTTGTAACACGAGGATTACTCAGGGTAGACGAAGTTTTCTTACACTATTAACAATGTACACAATTACTTAGTTACAAAACGATGCAATAAGTTAGCTTTGCTGATTTAAGCCTTTTTATATATGCTTCTGTAAAGTTTTATGGAACAACAATCTGTTACAATAATATTTTTATCAGTTAAAGTAAGCAAATCTCAACAAACTCTAAAGATGCACACTATCTATCTCTGGTGATTAAGTAATTCCATTTAGTTTGTCACCGAATTATCTGTAACAATAGAATAACGTTTCGATGAAACTGCATCATTAAGCTTCTTGAAATTAATTAAGAAACAAATTCAGAACAAAAATTATCCCTATTATTTATCATTGATTTATACTTTACTAGTTCATTTCAGATAATGCAACGACAGTTATGATCCTACGATATTTTTGAAACAACGTTTCGAACTGCTATAAGGTTATTACTTTAGAAACTGGATTATCTTAGTGTAACGTTATAACTCTTCATTTTCTAAATTGGCTACTTATATTGAACTGTTGTAAGGTTTTTTACCAGTAATGTGCCATCATATAATTTCTAATATAAACTTATGTAGACATTTTAAGTGTTCTAAATATATGAGAATTTGGAGTTCCACAGAGGTCATCAAGTAATACAACAATGCACAGTCTAGAGTTACAAAGGAAAATCACGAAAGAGTTTTGGTTATTGTTTTCTATCTGAAACTAGCTTTTCAAAGTATATGTAAATAATATTCAATAAGTGAATATTGGGTTTTCATTTGATAAATTAAGTCTCCGTTCAACTAGAGACACCTCAGTGGCAGGGATCGGGTGTAAAAAATCCAGGAATTATCTGATTTTGGTGAAACTTACATAGGATGTACCATACTATGAAATATGATTATTACAATATGCAATTTTCAAGTTGAACAAAAATTGATGACTGGCCACACCATCATCAGAAGCCTCCATACTTAAAGACAGTATTTCTCCTCTTGTAAACCACGGGACCATTACTTGAACCTTCATTATTATTTTTTCGTTCTTTGTTAAATCTGTTTTTCAAACTAGTCTAACAGATCGTCAGATAACGTCAGGCCCTGCTGACCGTGACTTTGCTACTCTTCAGTATGTCATTATCAATCACCATTATTCCTTCGATTACCTGCATGTACAAAGTTCCCAGATGTTCGACTTACAACATGTGCAGCCACTGTGGACGTGATGATGATGGACTCTCTAACAGTTCTTGTTGAAGCAAATCCATCTATCAAGCCCAAAGATGGTGGTGACAAGAACAGTAGTGATAGTAGTAGTAGCTTTTCGCCATCAGAAGCTCAATAAAAATATCTCCAACTTCAAGGAGAGTAATGTAGGAAGGTTGTATAATTTGATTTGAGAATAAAATAAAATACAGAATCAATTCACGTGTGTGACTGACTGTTGTTGGTCAGGTGGTGCGGCCACTCCAAAACCGTATGTTTTTTTACTGCTCATAACTCCCGACTGAAATACGTTACAGTTATATGGATTGCATATTTGGATATAGAAAATACCGGACTTTCCAACGGTGTGTGCAACACCTCCAAGAAATAATTACCGGAATTTCTTGTTCCTTGCTCTGCCACCCAAAAACACTACTCTCGCCACTGGTTGAGAGAGAGGCCTTGTGTTAAAAAAATTGGATCTTTATTTTTAGCACTCATCTAAACATTTTCCTGATTTGACCAGCTTTAATGAGTAGGTGAAACTTGAAAGTTTTGGATTAACTTGTTAATTACTTTCAGTTGTCCGACTCTTTCGGCGGTAAGTCTGAAGGTTTATAGCGCTAAAAATCGGGTTCAGATACCCGCAGTAAGCAGAGCACGGATAAACCATTGTGTAGCGTTATGCCTAATAGTAAACAAAACAAACTTTGTTTGTAACAAGTTCATTTCCTTATGGATAAACAGATGTAACAGAAAAACCTTCGAGTAATACCAATATGTCATTATTACTTTCACTACCGACAGAGGTTATGTTTTCACTCCTGTATGTATGTTTGTCAGCAGGATTTCTCGAAAACGACTGAACTTGGTATACATTTGGACTATAACCCATCTTAGAAGTGATTCCTATATGTTAACATGGGGACCGATTTTCACAATATACTTGTTCTATAACTCAATCAAAAATGATCGTATTATGATGAAACTTGGTGGACATATGTAGAATATTATTGCTCGTTGTCCTACCAAAGATGGTCCGTATCTGTTTATAATGTCGGGCGTAAGGACACATTTTCTTATTTTTGAGGGCCAAATATGAGCAACGCTACCTAGCGGAGGTATGCTCTTTACTGAGTGCCCTTTTGATTATTATTTTTTGCTCTTCGATGCTCCAAGTAAGCGTAACAGAATGAAAACCAACGTACCAGTGCTATACGATCAAATTTCTGTGCCAAGGTTTTTTAATACAAGTTTAACTCACCATGTTTCTTTTTTTTTTATATTCATATTCCTATACAACTTACTAAATAGTTTTAGTACGGTCGGGCGTGGCCGTGTGATTTGGCTGGGGGCCTGAAAGTCCAAGATTCGAACTGCATGCAATATTTCTCTGATCACTGTTCATCACTCTTAGCTGTGTGGATAAATGTGAATAAATACACACATCACAAACTTAGACGTGTACAAAAAAAACAAAAAACCCTTCAACTTTGTTTAAGGTGGTACCAACGACTCCAACATATTAACACATTTAGAGTTCTGTTTTAGTAAGTTTCTTGTTTGAAGACATTGTTATTTGTGGTCCTATATACGGGTAAGTTTCTTGTTTGAAGGCATTGTTATTTAAAGTTCTATATACGAGTAAGTTTCTTGTTCGAAGACATTGTTATTTGTAGTTCTATATACGGGTAAGTTTCTTGTTTGAAGACATTGTTATTTATAGTTCTATATACGGGTAAGTTTCTTGTTTGAAGGCATTGCTATTTAGAGTTTATATACGAGTAAGTTTCTTGTTTGAAGACATTGTTATTTATAGTTCTATATACGGGTAAGTTTCTTGTTTGAAGACATTGTTATTTATAGTTCTATATACGGGTAAGTTTCTTGTTTGAAGACATTGTTATTTATAGTTCTATATACGGGTAAGTTTCTTGTTTGAAGACATTGTTATTTAGAGTTTATATACGGGTAAGTTTCTTGTTTGAAGGCATTGTTATTTAGAGTTTATATACGGGTAAGTTTCTTGTTTGAAGACATTGTTATTTAGAGCTCTATATACGGGTAAACCTTTTGTTTAAAGACATTGTCATTTAGAGTTCTATATACGGGTAATTCTCCTGTTTGAAAACATTGTTTTTTAGAGTTTATATACGGGTAAGTTTCTTGTTTGAAGACATTGTTATTTAGAGATCTATATACGGGTAAACCTTTTGTTTAAAGACATTGTCATTTAGAGTTCTATATA